ATGGGGTGAGTCAAGAAGTGGACCTGACGAGGCTTGATGAGACCTGATGAGACATGTGACAACCAAGGTGTATGTGGTAAAACCATGTAAAACCCAGTGCTCAGTCGGTTCTCTGGTCGAAATCTGTTCATGTTCCTTCCTTTTGAAACTCTTGGCACTTGTGCAAGCCTGCAGGAAAAGATCGATCCAACGACAACATCTGGGATGCAGAAAATGAATGGCCATGAGCTTGGGTAGGTGTGGAATCTTCAGTGTCTTGGTCAGCGGAAGAATCTGCCAGCTATGATCAGAATAATTGACAGCATGGTAACAATGGTCAGCCAAAGAAGGAAACAGCTGGGCTCGATCAGCGAATTACGAGTACAAGCACCCTCCCTGAAACAATCATGGAAGTGGAGACCCCTTCAGACAGTAGAGGAAAACAGTCTTCCAAGGGGCCATGTGCCACTTCCATGTTTGAAGGGAGGGTACCCGATCGGGGTCGACATTTTGGGTCAGTTGTTGACCGATTGGCGTGCTAAAGAGTTTAATGAGGCCATGAAATGGCACAGAAGAATGACTCATCACTAAAGACACCAATTCTTCCTCTGAACTGCAGCTTCTGGTGAGAACCCCAAATCTGTTCATCAAGCTGAGGACAACACAAATAAAAGTTCTTGAGCATTGTTCAGTTTGGATTCCTGGCCCTGGTACATGCGCACAGCCTCAAGTCAGAAACCAGTTCCAGCCGCGACCTTAGGGAAATCACCACCAGGATGGGTTGGTTGATGGACATGTCTACAGCCAATTGGGTGTGCATTACAATAGGAGACCTCCCAAAGACCCCGTGGAAGAAGGAAAATAGACCAGTCTACCCAGCCAGGGCCAGGGGGGTTCTCTATAGCCACACAAAATTGTATAAATTATAGACCGAGCTCCCGGCTCCTTCAATTGCGGAATCACTTGCCAGGACATGAGGTCGGCGCCTCCGAAGGTCAAAGTTACAACAGGTCACAACCAAAATATGTTGCTACTAGTAGCGTCCTTGCTCCTAGTAGCGATGTCAGGAGCCCCTAGTAGCATTCTTGTTCCGACGTAGTAGTAAGGTAAGGCGCCCCTAGTAACCTAGTAGCGTCCTTGCTTCTATTCAAAAGAGTCTGGTAAACATGACTACTTGCGAATTAGAGAATTTGCAATAAAAGCTTGCAAGGGACTCTCCGCCCCATCAAACCCTTGGAATGTCATTCTCAGTGAGTGCCAGTGCTTTCACTTTTCTTTCATTCCTAGCTACTGCGTCTTCAACACTCTCTCCAGGAGACGCGAGAGAAGCTCAAGTTGGATTTGCTCAGGACACCAGGGCCCAAAACATACATCAAAGGACACCAGGGATGATGTTTATGCTTGGCCCCAGCAGGGGATTCACACATATGGCCAAGCATAAACATCATCCGCAAAACCACGTTGACTCGTTGACCTAGGAACGCCCCAGGAATACCGCCAATGGTCGAGGTCCTTTTTCCAACAACCCTGCCGGGGAATTCTACGTTGATGGTCGAGGTCACCTTCAAGGATGGTGCCATTGCGCTGAAGATGAGCTGTCCAGAAGTTGTCCTCGAGCGGCTTTGGATTGTTGAGTTAGTTTAGATCCAACCAATTCTGCGGCTGGGAATCTTTGTGAACTTGTACGAGTTCATGAGTTTCCTTACCCATTTGTCATTTGTACCAAACCAGTCGGAAAATCAGTGCATGCATGCCCATGGCATTCGCCTCCTACCCGTCAGTTGCTGCGAAGTCTGCTGGAGTCTCAGGCAGCTCTTTCAAGCCGCTGGCCGGAGCGAGTTCATGAGTTTATATCTAGAGCGAGTTCTAAAGAGTGGACGAGTTCATCGCTTGATGTCACAGCCTGTCACCCTTCCAACTGGGTTGACACAGTTTTGTCCAAACTTACGCCCTGGGAGATTAACATGGAACCTGAAAATCACTGGGTTGTAGATGAACATCTTCTTCCAAAGGTCTGTTTTCAGGTTCCATGTTAAATCTTCCGGGGTGTATCGTTTAGCAAATTCGCTGGATGCTTTTGTAGTGCATGGTGCATCGTCCTCTTCAGCTGGTGGAAGGACCGCACTGATCACCTCACCGGCAGGTCTCGCTTGCGAGAATCGAAGCGAGAATCGATCGCCTCTATGTTTGAGGGAAGAGCACTGGCATCAACTTGGAATGATGGCAACTCCCTGCTCTTCGGCTATTTGACAGTGGGCCGGGTAGTCTGAGATTTCCCTGGGAGATGTAGTGTCCTCAATGGCCACCGACCAAAGCTGGCCTAAAGTCTGTGGAGGTACAGGAGGCCCAAACTCCTTGTGGAAGGCATGTTGATGAAGTTGGAAGTCCGGTGATGGCAGCATCCTTGACTCATTGACTGTTTCGAGACTGAGGCAGTGGATGCCGGGTCAAAGCCATTGCCACCAAGAACTCTGATTACCATCGCTTGAATGAGAAGGAGAGGGGTTCAACCCAGTCAATATCAATCAACCAACCAAAAAAAACAACTCACCCGGACCGGTACGCATGACACGACCGGTCCTGCATCGGTATATGCTTCATCCATCGGGATCCCACCTCGAGATCTATCAGGAGCACATCTTCCACCTCGCTTGACCTCAAGATCCACGGGCATCGCCGCAAGCAACGGGTGCGCGCGGAGCGGGCATGCTGCGCGAACAAAGGGGCTGCTAGGCTGGGCTTTCTGGGTTTGAACACCTGGCACAGAAGATAGCTCACGAATGGACGAGGCAATTTACATGGGTCTGGGTCTAAAAGGAATAGCCAGGGGACCAGCCAAAGGTTTCTTTGCTTGATGTTGTTTGAATGTTGTCATTCGTGATTACATGCCACATTTGAATCAGTGATGCTATTGCTGAGAGTCGAAACTCGTCACTGGGTCTCTCCAAGCTAAGCAAACTACGTAATTTACAAAATTGTCGAAGTGTATCCAAAAATATCTGTAAAATATTGGTGTTTTTTTTTTTTCTCAAGTAAACTAACGTTCAATAATTTGTTGATGTTCATTCACTCCACAAATGAAACTGACTTTCAGTCTGGTTTCCTCACATCTCCTGCAGTGCATGTGCAGGACAGCGAGTAGCTGAGATACATACCACGTCCCCACCAGCAAATAAAGCCTGTTTGATATGCATGATGCCTCAGAGCACACAGAAGCTGCCGGACCCCCAACAAAAACGAGGTGCTGCACATCTCAACATACCTCAACAACTTCAAAACGCGGCTGCCCAATCCTGTTCATGAAAACAATGAAGACCCAAGCTGGGAGGAAATGGGGAGTTTTTCGATGTTTGCCCTCCTAGGCCCTAGTCAACAGCTGGCCAGATTTGTCAGTATATCCAAGCGTCCCCTTGTGAGGCAGGAAGTAAGCGCCCAGTCTCGTCCTCGAGTCCATCGCACCATGCCACGGTTTTCCCGGAGGTTTTTCGGCAAAGGAAGCGATGCAACATCATGGCCACGGTTTTCCCCGACGTTTGCCAACACCAACCTGGAACACCAATCGAAACCGAGCTGTTTTCATCCAAGCTTTCAGTGGAATTAATCACGGTGGCGCGGCTGTGAGGATTGAACTTCGGAGATCAGGGGAACGTTGATTTGGATGGTACCACACAAGCACTGGTGGCACTGTCACACCGGTGGCACTGGCGGCTCTGTCAAAGTCACATTTCTATGTATATACTAATTATTGTCTTTTGTTCCTGAACCACATGCGATTGGCCCACAGCCACGTGAGGTGTGAGCACCCCTCTTTAGTGTGACATGAAACTTGGAAAGTGTACGGCCCTTTTGACATGCACTTGGTAGCTTTGCTCTGCACAACTGGAGCTGCTCTCCATCCATTTTGCCTCAACTATACAGCATGTTCCTTCCTGTACATCTATTTCCTTCCACTGCATGGCATTCCAGCTGGCTTCAAGAAATCCCTAGCCTAGCACCAAGCTGCAATTCCAAGAATTCCAACTTCCCAATACCTCCGTCTTTTGCAGTTCCGATCCACTCCAGCCCACAGCCACCCACTCTCCAAACCACTCCCATTCTCCGGGCAACGCAGGCGTCGAAACCTGCTCTCTCTGTGGAGACCTTCACTCGCCTCGGTCGCATCGTGAAGCATGGTGGAGCACAGAAAGTGCGAGGTGAACCTTGTCATGTTGATTCTATATCATGCATTCTGCAGCTATTTATGCACATCAATTGTTACACATAATGCAAATAAATGTAGTAATATCATGTTTTGGTCTTAACCTTCTTGGACGTTGATTAGTGCTCAACACACAGGTTGAATCAGCACAGCCATATCACCAACGTGGCCAAGGCTTTCTCTGAATGGAAGGTGGAATCACTGGCTGAGGTAAAAGGCATGGAACAGATGAGAGGGAATTAGTGGACCAAAGAAACCCTACACCGCCTACATCCGCCTACTGTTTGACATTGCAAGGTAGAACAAACATTCTTCAGTTCGTCAGCTGCTGTCCGCTGCGGCACAAGAATCACCGTCACTGACAGCAGTTGACGCTGTGACAGCCTCCTTTTGATGCGTTCAGACAATAGACTGAGAACTCGACGCGAAAAAAGCTCCGAGCCATGACAGTTGGAGAATCCAAGGCGGGGACTGCGGGGACGGAGAAGAAACAATACATGGGACAGGGAAGCAGTCCTTTGCTCCCGCTTCTTTTGTTGTGTGGTCATTTCAATTTCAGACTTATCCCAACTGCCCACTGTGCTACAGCCATGTGGCTGGAGCGAGTACGGTCACCCCCAAGCGCTTGCCGACAAAGTCTATACAGCTTATCAAAGCTTGCTTGGGTTGATGAACTGGGCCTCAATGGTAACACCTATCCTTGCAAATGCTCACTTTGGAGCGCATTGCGTGTTTAGCACTGTTGAGTCGAAAACTCGTCTGCATACTTTCTCAGACAACGCCTCTGACATCTGTTGAGCAGCCAGAGCACCTTCAAACGAATTCATGGATCTATACATTGGATGTCTCCGTTGGCAACTGCTCCACCAAGGATCAGGGAGCCAACAGAGACCAGGATCACCGAGGCAATACTCAGCAATGCGCCCGCACTGTGCCGCTGAGCAAGTGGGATCGACTCAGCATCCCCTATATATCTATATGTCATGGTAATCACATAACCCTCCAACATACCACAAAGAGCGAAGGATGAAATGAAAAGAGCTTGACCTCCTGCGGTCATCCACATGCTGCGCCAAAACCCCAGGGCGGCTGCGCAAACCAAACCACAGGAGATGTACCTTGTGGCTCAGCTCCATTGATCAAAAGAGAAAGAGGCACTCAAAGTCCGACAAAAGCTCTGCAAACATTAAAAACAAAATATAAAAACACACATGTAAATATATAGAGCAATCCACACATCATTATCATTGCTCACATCCGCCGCCGCTCCCTGATACTGGAAACTAAGATAACATAAGTATCATAAGTAAAGGCATATCATATCATCAAATCCGGTTTTAGTCGTTCTGTTGCTGGACATCTCACAACCTGGAAGCTGGCTCATACCCCAAAGACACTTACATTGAAATGAAAACTTGTGGATGGAATGAAAACTCGTGGTTGGCCAGGAAGTGATATCATTCCCTCAACTTGTAGATATTTGTTTGACTTGCCAAAGAAACTATGAACTACTGTGAAATTCTCCGGAGATCTTCGGAAAGGGCCCGTATCTTCCCATTCATGACGGGCCCCGGAACCCGATTCATCCAAGGCGCTGGAGCAATGAGATGCAATAGAAGAGCCATCGGGGACACGCGCCCACCGATGAGACCAGGGAGCCCAGTGGAACCAAGATCTGGGAGAGCGTCAAAGACAGGCCTTCAAGACAGGCCATTGCAGGCTTGAAAGGTGGACATGACTTGAAAGAAACAACCCCACTAAGCACATGTTCCAGGAAGAAGAACCAGAGCTGTCCAGTTCCAACCATCCAAAACAAACTAACCAAAGCAGTGCGTCCGCAGCTGTTCCTTTCGCCCCTCAGAAACCGTTCGTGCCCCTCTGTTCACGCCAAGGAGCGAAAGACGAAGCGCCCCTCTGTTCCGCCACACTCCAGCGGGTCACACATCTCGGCGCCAATCTCACCCAGGTTCGCCGCAATGCTCCACTGCCTATGCTGAGGAAGTGAAGGTGTAAAGAGAACCATATATGACTAATAGGCTATCGGGGATTATATGGGGTGTATTGGGATTTTAGGAGAATGCCCTTGTCATCCCTTTTTGCATCTCATCAATAGGCTCTATAATATTATAATCGTTTCAAAGGAATGTTCGGGGTGATGAAAATGGGCAAAGGGTGAGTTGGTCTACAACCAATGGAGATTGACGTTGGCAAAGACCGATCGGTCCTGCTTTCGGGTTGCACATGAACATGGATGCTCTGGGCAGACCGATCGACCGAAGCCAATCCAACACGAAGACACCCAGGCCCTGAGGCAAGAATCCACCCAAGCTGTCTATTCGCATACATCTGCTCAACATCTGTTGCTAGCTGTGTAGTTGGTCAGCAATTGGGACATTTCTTTGGAAGCATTCTTCATCCTGAACATTTGAAGCCGTGAACGACGATGCTACGAGGACGCAGGCTTGTTTCTTAAAGGCGCCAACAAAGGTACCGGCCCGGGTAATTGACAAAAGCTGTATCTGTATATATATAAATATAATATGAAACATTGGCTTGGTTTCCTCAACACAATCTGAATCAATCTTGCGGGACGGGTAACATATGTGAAACAGCATGGATCCGCCTGCTCATCGGCAGTTGTTTGATTCAACCCATCCAACAAAGTCCGCCTTGGTCCGGCGCCCTTCTCCCTTGCCCAACTTGGCCGCATCTCACGAAAAGGGACGTGATTTGCGTCAGTGCGGCCATCGCCACCGGCGCTACCAAGGGTTTGGGGCAAAAGAGGCTCTGTAGCCCGATGGCTAAGCGTTCCCGGACGAAGGCACCGCTTGACTTGGTGTCCTGCTGAGACACGGAGGGATCATGTCGAACAAAGAAGAAGACGTGTCTCGTGGTTTTGACGTAGCTCGTTTTGGGAAATTGAGGACTCTCTGGTGAAGATGCTATCCTTTTCTTCCTCAATGCACAAAAACATACGAAAACAAGAAAAGTGCTACAGTATGTCCCACTTCGAAGATGTGGCGATCTGCTAGATCTGCACCAGGCTCACTGGTCAAAGAAGCAGTGCAGTGTAGGTGGTACACTGTTCGCCTAAACTTGCATCCTGTCGTTTGGTCACAGATTGAAACCACGAAATCACTTGGCTTTTGGCCAGATGTTTGCGGCTTCCGAGGCTCCTTTCTGTAACCCCACAAAGTCAGGAGTCCTTTAAACACAAACACATCTTCCATGGCTCCATCTCACCCGTCGGCTTCCAGTGTCGGGTTTCTTGGGACATGTTCCATAGGGTCAAATCCCATCAAAGTTGGGTGCGCAGGTGCCCTGAACGATATCATATATTATATATTCTAGTCACTCTTGTGATTTGGTCAGTTTGCTATGTAGCCTGGTGGCAGTTGCACTGGTGTTTCCTGTTCTACCAAGGATCAGCGAGACCTACGAATACCACCTGTGTTAGGGCAATATGATGCAATATGAACTAATGGTTGGTTGAGTTGGTGTGGTCGTCACCACACATTGACAATTGATCTTGAACAAAAAGGATGTCACAACATGACCCAGCATGACCAAACGCATCCACAATGACAGAAGAGACGGTTCATGACAGCTCCTGAAAGGGTCAACTACGTACGACGTACACATCCCACCACTAAAATCCATATGGCAATCATAACGTGGATGAACTTCGAGGTCAATCTCACCATTTGGAGCCCACCAGACTGCCACCTGGTCGAACTTCGAGGTCGCGGGACCCGCGGTCCTTGTGTTCTGAGATGCTCTCATTGGACTTGGACTCGGTTGACGTCTCGGACTCCACATCAGGGTGTCCGGTGTTGCCAAACCGGGGTGTACCTCCCAACCTGAGCAGTGGCACAAAGATCTTGGTCCAAAGTGCATGGGAGGAAGTCTGACTCATTTGCAAGTCATGGAAAGTCATCGAACAGTTGTCTACGGTGGTATACAGCTTGCACCTACTCTTGCACCTAGAAAAGCAAATACTGTACATGAAAATACAATGTGTCATCTGACAAAGGCTTGAAACACTGTGACTCATGCTACTCATGGCAAAGTTCCATCGGCACAGGTGGAGGAAACCAAACCCCTCCTCCAAATTCTACCCTCTCCCTGAGAGGTTGCAGGGGATCTTCTCCAGACATGCCACCGTCGTTTGGGAACATCGGAGGGAAGACACAGCCCCGACCGACTTCACCAAGGAACTCTTCATCGGTTGCATGGGCTCTCAAACCGATGCCATACTTCAAGATCACAGTCCATGCGACCAATCCACAGCAGCTGATGATCGAATACAACGTGAAGAGGAGCCACCTCGAGAGGCTGAAGACCGAGTTCGAGCCAGCGAGCATCACCGAGCATCTCGAACTCAGTGCGACCCCGGTCGTCCACCCAGGTCGTAAACGACCGGTGACCATGTGGAAGATCATTGGTTCATTGATCATGGATTTGACTTATTGGGACACGTTGAGCACTAGGAAAACCCAGAAAGGCAGTTGAAACTCAAACCATATGTTCAATCAGTATCTTGGAACGTCATAGACGTTGGTTTTGTGAATCCTCATTGTACATGTGCTAAACTACAAAAAGTAGCAAACAACTTGACACAACTTGATACAAGTGCTTCGATCATACCCTATCCTTCAACAGCCCAGTGTCACCCTCCTTGACCGGCTGAAAACGGGAGAGTTCGCCAACAGAATTCGCTCGCTCGCTGTACCAACAAAATTGATTGCCCAGGTGGCGTTGGGAACCTCTGATTCACTCCATCTGAAGTCTGAGCTTCTGCCAGAAATGCCGAGATCATACCTAGTATCAAGGGGGTCGCTACTAGGAGCAAGGAGCTTGGAAGGTCTACCAGCTTATTGATCATCATGTTGCATTGTGATCGAAATTCCAAGACTTAAGCGTGCATGGCAAACATCTAGGTTTCCTCGTTCAACTCTCAAATTGGGGAGGTGGGTCTATGACTGGGTCTCTGTGATTCTGTTCGTACCCAGCTTTGTGTTTTCTTGTCCGTCTTTTTGCAGGTGAACAGGGTAGAACGGGTAGAACAAACAAGGGAACTAGACGAGGGAACATCAAGGAACCCTCATGCAGGACAGCTTTGGAAAGTTCTTTCAGGGTTGTGGTTCAATAGAAGAAAGGGAAGTGGACAAGACGGAAAGCACAAAAGACACGGATGAAAACTAAAAGCACTAGACAGTCCAGTGACAGGACGATCGGAAGAACAGGGGGTCAGCACTTGAGCCCTAAGGAGCAGGACAAAGAGATGAACAGCAAGGAAAGAACAAGAGAATACAAGCCTGTACACATGGGGAAAAGTGCTTCCAAAAGACACGTGTAAACAAGTAGCAAGCAGATCAGAACCCAATAGGAGTATATATACACAACTTGCTCCGAAAGAGGCTGGCGCAAAAGTCGTGACTTTAAAAGAAGAGATCCAAGGATGACTTTCGAAAGGAAAGTGCGTTTAAAAGCCCAGGGTGTCTAGAAAAAAATAGAACGTGCCAGAATCAGAAACTAGTCCTGTCAAGAAAGGGATCTACTTCTAGATAATTCTTAATGTGAAACATTAATATATGCAGTCAATAAATGTGGAGAGCAATTTCAGGAGCAGCCTAAACAAGTAGGGTTTTCTAGATCAAAAACGAGTTTTACCAAACAAGTGGAACGTAGAAGTTGCTAGAAAGTAAAAACAAGCAAAGGTGCAAAACACAGAGGGATAAAGTGGTTTCACATTGCGAGAAAACTAGAGGGGGGAAAGTGCAGTACCTGCCTCCCCCCTGTGAAAGCTCAAGCCATGAAGCTTCCAAAGGTGTCATTACAAACGGTGACTATCGCTGTGTGGCTAGCAGAACATCTTGACTTATGTGTTACTAATCATTTGGTGCAAGTGGTTGCACATTACATTCCAAACTCATCCCTGTTGAAATGTCAAGGAGAACTTGGCCGCCAGATTTTCTAGTAGAATTCTAGGTGAGGTCGATTCAAGGCAAGTCTTGCGTGCTAGAAAATGGTACGTTGTGAACAAAATCCTTAGAATTCAAGGTGGGGTGGAAACATGACACCATCCAAAATAGCCTCTAGAAAATGCTCTATCCAGGTTCAAGTTCCCAAGTATCAGCGAGCAACAAAAATCCAAATTTCATGTTCTAGGGGAACATTGACAGCTGCATAACGAACGTGGACAGACATGGACAGACATTCCAGAAGATAACATAAGTCATTTTATAGGACCCTGCTTCGGCATCCAATCGACTCACCAGCACCTATCATCATCGCACTCAAAATGACTCCCTAGAAAATGAACCTTGCAAAAATACATGATGTTCCAACTGTTCGTTTCTAGAAAATGCCAGGGAATCAACTCAGTGTACAAAGGTGGTTCTCTAGAAAAACACAATTTTCTAGGGGACCTAGGTCCCTGGATTTCCTAGTGGACATTTCAGTAGTACAGTGCTGTGACACATGCCAATGGAAACAGCACGGCCAACAGTGGCCACTGTGGGTAGCAAACACCAAAGACGGACAGCCAAAAAGCCGCAAAAGCCACCACCAACATGGTCTGCAAAATGTTCTAGAACTGCAACCAACTTTCACAAACTGTAACAGAAATACCGGCCCCCTGATGTTGTAATCTTATGCCTTACATTCTCACCGTTGGTGTCATCATCCGTGATGGTCTACGAACCACTGGTTCGTGCGCAAGATGCTGGAGAGATCAGTGCCAGAACGCACTGGCGCCACAAGCCACCCACTGTAGTTGATGGCAATCAGCCTAACCAGTCTCACAAGTGGAGGAGACCAAACGCGGAGCCAAAACGTCTGGTAGAGCCACAGAGCCGTCGATCCAAACCGTGAGCGACTTGGCTCAATCAGAGGCTTCCCAACTCACTCGGATGATTGGGTGAATACAAGAGCCAACTGCAAGGGTCTTTTATCGGAAGTCGTAGTGCTGCCTCCTTGAATTGAAGCTGATTAAGGGCTTTGCGCTTCCTCAGATACTTTTTAAGAGGGGTGTTCTCAAGTGTTCTTGTTCGGCTCTTAAAAACACTCTGTTCTTGCCCTTTGATGTCTCAATATGTGTGAGAAGACTCGACTGGTCTGAAGCTCTCCAACAAATTCTTCAACATTCACTATACTGAGGTGTCCTGAAGTTGAATCTGATTCCTCATATAGTCTCTTCTAACATCGCTTTCACATGTCGGTGCTCATGTCCATGTCTCCATGTCATGCCTCGGTCTCCACCGACCCGCTGGACGGACCCACTCCCGGTCGTGGAGCGGAAAGAGGAGCAGGATGGATCCGTTGCCAACGATGCTGCCAAAGACGCTGCAAAGGTTTACAACTGAGCCGTTGGTCCGAATCGCCCATAATGGAAGTGAATTACTCTGAATTGGAGGTCCCTAGGAGACCCATGGAAAATGGCGATTCTTCATGCTTTTTCGGTGTTCGTTCGCTTCCACCCCAATCGATCGATGCTTGAACGGTCAGGGCTTGATCGATGCTTGAAGGCGGTGGCAATCACAATCTTAGCACCTAAGGAACTTAAGTAAGGTCGGGAAAAGGACAAACTCCTCTGGTGTGACATGTCTTCCGCCTTGCCCAAGGACCTGATGGCCACTGCGAAGAAAAGGAACTCATGTCATTTCACGTCATTGTCATTTGTCACTAGACCCCAAATTGCACTCTCATCCCATGTCAATTGAATTTTACTGTTCTGTTCTTCCTCCTATGGGCCTCTGGGCCACTGGTTCAGAGCCCGGAGGACATGCTTGTTTGTGAACGGGTGAGACACCTGGCAATGGATGGAGTCATTAACAAATGTGAACCTTCTCTTTTGATACAATGCTCATTTTAGTTGACCGGCCATCATAAACCATGCATCTACTCCTCGAAATCATCCAGTGAGTCATAGTGAGTGACGACGCTGACGATCCCCACCCGCTCAATGCTGGTGACCACCCACCCACTCAATCCCCGCCTGCTGGTGCGTCCCAAATGATCGCTAAAAGTACCAGGCTAAGCAAGCTGAGAACGATCAGAATACTGCTGCCCCAGACCTCCATGCCTGAGCAAACAAGAGTCAGCTCCACGCTTTTGTGGCTAAATGCCAAGTGCCAACCTAATTAGCTATGGCCAAGAGGTTCAAGTTTCGAACTTGATGCGCAGCAGTCAGAGGGCAAGATGTTGCACCACCTGGTATTCCTGCCGCATAAGCTTTCAATGAACACCCCCTCCGGCGCGCTGAGGCCCTAGCGTTTAGAGAGTTTGCCACAGAAGATGGGATAGACGCCAAACATGCTGCAAAGGATCAGCCCAGCAATGGCCCCAACTTGATTGATCAATCCGATCATCGCGCCTGTCATGCAAAAGCACCACTCTAAGTCTTTGTGAGCCACATTGAGCCACTCATGGGTCCCAAACTACCCTCCAAAACCTCCCAAACTAGGACCACAACAAGCAAACGACCACCACGATACAGCTGACTCTGGCCTCCCTGCGCAATTTTGGGCTCATTCGCAACAAGATTGTACAAACCTCAGCTTTGGCACGAGGCTCGGACAAACCAGCGTCATCCTCGTCATCTTCTCACGTCCGAATCCGAGGGCCTCTGACCTATCGGTCTCGAAGACCAGAAAACGCGTCCAAACACGTGCAAAACCGATGGCTTCGCTGGACTGTGCCATGGCTTCACGGACTGAGCCATCAGCTGAGGCTGGGACTATTCACCACGAACCAGCCACAAGAGGTGCCCACCGAGAGGAAGGCAATGAAAGTGAAGCTGGAACCACATCCATTGGCCAATCCCATGGTTTTCAGGCGGGCCCACTGCCGTACTGGATCCTTTACAGTCCAGCCTAATGCATCTTGAGCCGTGAAGAGCTAAGAATCCGGGCGCCAGCCCGTATTATATATAATATACATATCATATCATATATTATAGGAACTTGCAAGTTTGGCCCACAAAACACTTCTTTAGGTCAGTGATGATCACTGCAAGTTTTGCTACAGTTGTAGGAGTATAACAATAGTATGACTTTCTGCTTGGATATTCCTTCATTCACGCCACGCCACCCACAGCTGCCGGCTGTGCCGTTCTCCATCCGAAAGCTAGATGGAGATGTGATCACCAGCTCATCGTTGGCCTGGCGGATCATGGTCCCCCATGGTCCGCCCCCCCATGCAGATAGTGAGTGTGAACATGTAGTTACACTGCCAGAGGAATGAACCCAGGATTGAAAGTTCAACCTCAAATTTCATGAACGGCAAGATGGAAAGTAGGAGAAAGAGGGTTTGTGATCGTAATAGCTATACTGAATCAATCAAAAAGACTATCACCCACAAATGCACAGCAGGTCTTCTCTCTGCACGGCAGGTCTTACACCGTGCCTGTAAAGCGTTGATCGCTTGGAGGATCAGCGTCACGTTCATCCGCACGCCGCCCAGGATCTGCATCCCTGGTGAGGCGAGGCTGCGAAGCATGCTGCTCCGTTGGGACCGTCAGAATGGGTTGTCGGAACTGGTGGAACTGCTTGAATGCTACGGCAATCCCGTTAATCCGTGCATTCCAGGGTGTCCAATTCCAGAGTTCAATAAAAGCGAAGGTGTCACCTACGCCACGTGCCGAAAGACCAAATCTGTAAAACATGGTAACACATCCTGGACGCGTACAATAGTCATCTGAGTCATCACCCGATCAACATCTCACATGACCCAAACCCGACCGTCGTATACGGCAAAATCATCCAATCTCTAACGCAAAATCGCAAATCTCACAACATCCTCCACCGGGTCGTGCGATCCGTCTCTCGCCTGGGTTCAGCACTTTCCAGCCTGTTGCAAACACCGGGGTTCACGGGAAGACCGAACGGTTTCGAACCAGGGAAGACCCAGAAGGGAAAATGATATGATCATCCAAGGGGCGGTTGGCCACTTCCTGTATGTTTCAGGAAGTGGTTGTTGTCCATTTCAAACGCCCCTTGGACATATCATGGAAACACTACCCCAGGCCCAGTTCTGGAAATTCCTCCTGTCATTTGTGCAATCTATTCTGGGACAAATCCATCACTGATCACAGAAAAAACACAACGAGTACACTCTCCTCTATGGACCAAGCCATAAAGTTGACCACCTTGCACTTGCAAATCCCTGCAGTATGAGATTGCTCTTCCGATGGTGCTTCGTATGTACCCAGCGGGGTCAATTTAAAGAAAGAGCCACTTGAACTCCAAGTGCTGCATCGTGATGCTGGAGTGGGTCATCGACACTGTCATCCACTTCTTATCACTTCTTTGAAGATATTTCAAGATCTTTGGCAGGTGCCACAAGGCCGATCTAGAAGAAGCCATCGGCTTTCTGTCTCTTTCTTGACACCAACATTATGCATACAGTAGATGCAGTACCTTTAAAAAGCACATCACCCACACGGGGCGAGGCACATCACTGGTGCTTCAGTCGAGGCACTCGCCAAGCGCGGGTGCAAGGGAGGTCCAGGTATGGATCCAAGGTCATAGATGAGCTCCTCGATGACTCCCTCCTCCGCCGGGATCTCCAACTGAGGCATCTTTTCGTATCGCCGAGAGTCGCCCAGGCGACTCGGTGTGCCATATGTGCAGGTATGCCATATGCTGGTGATACTGCCGGTGATTTGGAGCTTCCACTGAGCTTGTGAGTCTGAGGTGAACTTTCAATATCCAAGAAAAGGGCTCCGATGAACCAAACATTTTCAACTTGGCCCTGACTACTGCGTAAGATATGATTTTCCTCATGGTCTCGTTGGTGGAGACAGATCTCAAATCCTTGCTCGGCTCACCTGGAAGAGTTCCAGGGAAGGATGTCTGCATGTCTGCATGTCCATCGTTTAGATCCACTGTCAAACGAGTTTCAAACCTTCAGTGGACACGGAAGTACCTCTCTTGTTGTGGAATTCAGCTAGTCCAGCCACAATCGGATGCCCCAAAAGCGGAAACCTCCGCCGTTTCGGCATAGCCTTGACACTTGATGCCACTTACTATATACATGACAATTTTGTGATCTTCGCTGGGTCTCAGAGTCGCTATTCCAAAAAGGCTCGTGCGTTCGAAACAGGGAACCAAGGCACCCTGTATGTTTCCAGCTGCCATTCAGCCGTCACCGGAGTAGCATGAGACAAGCTCTGCGGCGGCGCAGCAGCGACCCAAAGCTCGTAGAGGGCCGATCCCATCCTTGGAAATCAGGCAGTATACTTGGGACAAACATCGAACCACGTCATCTCAGTTTCCCACACCTCTCTCTCTCTGGCTCTCTGGAATCTCAGGGATTCCACAGGTCATAACAGGTCTAGATTGATCTTACACCCAGTCAGCCGCAGGATGTTGTAGGTCCAGAAGTCTTGGTCCATGAGCTTTTTGACCAAGGGTGACCATCAATCTTCAGATCAATAGCTTTAGGTTGTCTTGCTTCTGATCAACCGAGATGCCTCAATCGACAGATCTTACTTTGGTCATAAATAGGAACAAATATCAAAACTACTTCAACAACTCCTTCAACCATGGGATTGACAATTGAGGTCTGTTTTCCATCGAAGCACGAGTTTTGTTGCAAGACCAGTCGGAGGATCTCGCAGCTGACACCACTACCCACACCTGAGATCCCATGTGCTCGTTTATCTTCCAAAGCCGGTTCATGCAATTTGGAAGCGGAAGTCACGGTAGATATAGGGCTAGAGGTACCAAAAAACGTCAATCTGTTATTTTTGAAACTTTTGGTCTGTTATGGAGAGCACGGGTCACAGTATCGCGAATGGTCGGAGATGACCCGCATTGCAGTGGCTTTTGGTACCTTTTGGTCAGCAAAACATGATCTCTTACAAGGACCCCGCATGTCTGGCCCATGTGGGCTGACACGTGAAGAAACACTGCGTGAGGCGGCGGGGGCACGACTTTCACAGTTACTTCCAGCATGCTTCTGGGTCAATACCGATCCCCAATTTACAGTAGCCTATCAATGTGGACAGAACAATGTGAAAACATGTTAGTGAAAACCAATGAATTGTTACTTACCATCACAAGGCCTTTGTTATGGGTTTGCTTTTGACCCACAGCAGGTCATTGCTGGCGCCCAAGGGGGTCCCTCTTCTGAGAGGGGTCTGTGAAGAATGACTAAATCATGCACCCAACAGGCTCTTGTTTGTAATTATGATGCATAGTTGGCCATCATAACAAGGTCTGGCACCCCACACGGATTGGCTAGAAGTAACATAGATGACAGGTGATTTTATGCCACCTAAGCGAAAGCGACTTCAACATACTAGCTAGCCATGTGTTCGATGTTTGATAGCTTGCACATGTTCAAACTGGATTAAAGGTTCGCGGTGCCGAATACTGTATGGAGGAGGCAAAGGCATACAAAGCATGGCAGGCATGACCGGGGCTTGAATGCGACAAAGTGACCAAGCATCCTCTGTGCCTTCAGCGATGTGGAACTACTGTTGAACGTTTCATTTCGCAAACACCCACGCAATCCATCGGTGAACTCACCGACCCATTATATAGGCTTGTGAAAACAGTCCATGTAAGTAGATCTTCCACACATTGACGGGTCTTATTGTTGCAGGCAAAAAAAAAGGGTTTGCGCTTTTGAAGGTACAGTAACTTGTTGAATCAGCTTCCTGTGGTCATTCAGTGGCAAACACCCTAGTTCTACTGGTTTGCCAGAACTGGACTCCGCAACATGATATAAACTAACGGTACTGCGGCCCTTTGCTATTCCACCAAAAAGACTGTGTTGATATCCAAAAGATCCTCATTGAGTCTGAAGGATTAATTTGCAAAGGAGCGGAGGATGGCGAATTCCCTTCAGCCAGTGTTGCGACAGCTGAGACCGGCACTCACCACACGGATCTTCAGCGCATTCTCCGCCAGCCCGCAGGAGATGTTCGTGTGCGGCCAAATGCGTTGGGCCATGCCGGCAGGACCAAAGGCACAAAAGAGGTCGGGCCGGAGCTGCCAACCTTCTCTCAGGTCAGAATCGAATCACGAGAGGAACTAGCTCAGAATGTATGTTATGTCGATGTTGTTTGAGACCCGGAAGTCTTGGAAGAAGTCCGAAGTGATCTTCAATGTTCGGGGTGGAAGGGCTCCACCTATACTGTCAAGGCTGACTCAGCAACGGGGGGGGCTTTTGGAAAAATCACCATATGATCAAAAGGACCTGCTCACCAACTGGATGGGCACCCAAGACTTCCATAGAGATGATACTGCAAGCTACCCAAAGCCTCTTATTCTGCTCGCTGGGAGTGCACTCCCACTTTTGTCATCGAAAAGAAACCCTGTCCTTGGGCGCTGAAAAAAGGCTCTAATTTGGGAGTTTGTTTGTTGGGCATGCATGTGAAGTGCCACATCAAAAAAACACAGAAACACCCAAGTCATGAGGCCCTGACAAGTTAAGTCCTCTGAAAAAGGGCCATGGGCTTTCTCCATCTCCCACCGGGCCCACAAGGCCCATCCCGGCCTTGAGGCGACATCACCCGGAGTTGTTGAAAGCCGCTGCCCACGCGAAAGCGGAGTCGCACGGGCGGCCACCGCAAGGCGCTCGCTGGTGGAGGCCCGCAGGACCTGAGAAAGTGACGCCCAGCGAAGCACCAGTCCGGCGAAAGCGGAGCCCATTTACTAACCCAACAAAAATGACCCCTAGTAGCGTCCTTGCTCCTAGTAGCGATGCCCTTTGTTCCTAGTAGCGTCCTTGCTCCTAGTAGTACGGCCAGCAGCCCCTAGTAGCGTCCTTGCTCCTAGTAGCGATGCCCTTTGTTCAATCAAATGCCAGGCAGAATGCCATGAAGTTATCGAAGGAGAATGCGGCAAAATGACGCAAAAAACGTATGGGAGATTGGGACTTGACTCTGAGTACTAGGAGCCAGGACGCTACTAGGGGCTCCTGGCATCGCTACCAGCAACCAAAGCACAAAAATGAGCTTGACACCAAGGGATTGACCAAACAGCAATCTTCCAGATCGTACTGATTGGTCTTGATCAAAATTCCAAAACAACTGCTGTACCTGCACTGATATGCGCTGCTCCTCATGCACAATACTATGTTACTATGTGGTTTGAACATACCCCTGGATACTGGGTCAGGATCTCTGAACAGTTCTGCTGACTACTTAGGTTCCAGCAAAACATGGTAATCACAAGCATACGCAATATTCATAATTCTGCTCAAACGAGTTGTGCCTTTTATCGTCCCGGCCGGATTCACATTCTGCCAGGGCTCTGCAGCACCTGCAGAAGGCAGAAACACTGGGAGGGTGGAAATGGAACGCTTGGAATCGATGGTGGCGCCCAAAGCCAGTTGAAACTCACCGGCGCGCTCGCTTTGGAGTAGGCCGGGCCTAAGGCCGGGCCTTGGGGAGACCCCCAAAAACTGATTGAGGTCAAGACTAAAGGTCAATCGGCCTCTTCTTGAGCTGGCGAGGTGGGCTGGGAGAGAAACTCTCCGTCCTGGATCTGCCACAAGGTGAAGGACTCGAAAAGGTTGCTGGCTTCTGAACCTGGACACCGAGGTCAAGCCAGTGTCCCATTTTCCATATTTGTCCTATCCATAGCCTATCAACTGTGTTCCTTCACTTGAGCAGGTCAAGACACCAAGAGTCAAACTCCAAGTGTTCGTCACGGGCGAGCTTGGTGGATTGCGTACACGGACCTTGGAGCGAAGCGAAGATGGAACGTGCTGCCCCTGCAATTCCAACACTCAGCTCGATCCAACGTCTCCTCAAATGGCCCTGAGAACCACTCCGTCTGTGGTGACTCGGTTGTGCTCAAGAGGTGAAGAGGCCCGAAACTTCGCCCCGAGCGTTCGGCATCCGAGAGGCCCGAAAGGCATAGCTGACCTCAGCTTGCAACACCACAGGCTTCAGCTGCACGGACGCTTGTTCCTGATCCCCAATGCACTCGTCGATGCGGAGGTCGTCTGGGAAAGGATAGATGTCGCTGGGGAAAGGGATGGACTTGCCAAAGACCTCGTCCAGCACAAATCCTGCAGTTCAACGGTTTGGCTCAACCAACCGTTGAACAGCAACAAATTGATATACAACCCCCCATATAGATAGAAAAAGTAAATCGCCACTAAACATGTATTGGAAACCGTGCCACTATCTGTTTGGGGACCACTATAGAGCTCACGAAGTGTCAGGTGAAACTACCTCACACAATCATGAGTGGTCTTCAGTATTGGACATCTTTTTGGGAGGTACTCATCCATATCAGACGTAGTTAGTACAGACATATTCTCCGATGATCACCCGACCTTCCCTGCAATCTTCCGCAAACACAAAGAAGTCGGGCGCTGTCAGCAGGAGCGTTGCAGAACTCTGAGTCATCGCAGTCGAGAGAGCAAAAAAGAAGACCAAATTGTTGACCTCACTTGCATGCAGATAGTGAGCAGATGGCAGCAAATCCTATTCAAGCATTCAGTCCTATCTTAGGCCAATCAGGCTTTATGTGTCAGGTCCGAAATGCATGAAAATGACTATCTTAAAACTATTCAAAGAAGCTTGCTGACCTTGGAGCCGATTAGCAGTGCCTGTCA